TTTCGCTTGATTAGAAGGTCTTACTACAGGCTATGCACTACTCCCTGTCAAAAGTGTGTTTTGACACGGCAGTTGAGAGGATACCATAACTCGGACTTTGCACCAAACTCCGCCCCTACTCACAGCCCTACCCTTGGCTTAGGTGCATCTCCCGTCTTCCCTTTGTACTGTACGAAACAATAACATGTCCAGATTGACGATCCAAATGTCTGCTAGGACGCCTCTTTAACCAGGCAGAAATTCTCACTAGCACCAAAATCATGTGGTATATTTTTCAAGCTGGGACCGACGGGACTAGGTAGTAATGGGAGCCTCACAATGCTACGAGACAACTGCGCTAGGCTGCGATGCGGTGCGAACCCTTATTATATATGGACACAAAGTTGACTACCCAAGTGATCCGCCACGACGGCCGAAGCCCGTCGGCAGAGAGAGACTGTATTTGGGAGAACTGGATAACTCTCTATTCCTACCTTAGCACATCTCGGAGACGCAATCTAGGATGTTCAGCGTGATAAGATCCTGGAGCAGAAGTTTATCCGGGACGAGAGCTAGTAGAGGCAACTTCACGATATCTCTTTCCTCCATGTTCTGTCATGTTTTCTCGGATTCAAAATGATATTTATCATGCTTGTACTACTGTCAATCCACGCTATATGACTTTTCATCCGAATACGAGACAAGTAGTTCTACTGTACGAGTATGCTATCTGGAGTTGAACATCTACGATAAGCTTGAATATTCGTTGTGCTGTCACATACAGTACAAAAGCAGAAGGAGAGAAAGGGACACTAGAAGGCGGAGTTAGCGAGTGACAACAAGGAAGCTGTGAGTATTTCCGCCCTTCTGCTATTTCTGGCGCGGAGACAGCTTCTTGCATCTTTAAGCTAATAGATGATACTCATAAGTTGCCGTAGACCGATCAAGTAACGAGTCGATCGAGGAGATACAAAAGAAGACAACAGAGTACGTAGAGAAGAAGCACAAGTAGGCGAAGGCTTTATATTCCCTCTAATAGTCCTTGGTTGCTCTTAGCGCCGAAGAACTTGGGATATGTCAGTACATATTCCCTGTCCAGGCATAGGACTAGTCAAGATTCTGGAATGTAAATCGTAACGGGTGGGAAATAGTACAATACTATCATGTATAAAACACAATGAATTCCGCTGCTATCAAGCTGTCAAATGAAGTTTGTGCAGTATAATATGATTTATACTCAAGGTCCATGCTATCCTTATTAAGTCCAGCTATATACATACTGTGAGAATCACCCCTAACGCTGTGTCGTGCACAAGAAAGTATAAATGTGCCCCGAACTCCCAAAATACAAGTGCCGCAGTCTATTTTAGAATGATGATTAGCAACACTAATATAATGATCAGGATAGCAATAATAGTCATCTGCATATTATCCTTCGCCTTCCTCGCCACAGTCCCTAGGTTCTTCCTCGCCTTATCTAAGGACGTCTGATGCCTATCTACTCTCTGGTCAACATCATCTAGCATCTGGACATGCTCATCCAACTCATCACCAATCTGTATACTCAGCTCCCTTTGCCTGCCAATCGATTCACCTAGTCTGTCCAACGCCTCGTCCTGCTCGGCTAGTACCTGCGAGTGGTAGGCGTGGATCTGCTGGTTGTCGAGATAGGATTGATCTGGTGGGCCGGACGTAGGGTCGTCTCTGTATAGGAAAAGGGCATTCCGAGCATCGTCCTCGTCCTGGACAGACAGCGAATCGGAAAAGCGTACTGATTTCAGAGAAGGGGCTGCAGGTCCTGTTGATCCGCGGAGGGTTTTCTTTAGGAATGATGAGGAGGATGTATTGCGCGGCCGTTCTGTCGCTCGTGCAAAGTCATCAGCGAGTGAGGGGTCATTAGGATAGGTAATCGTGGAGGTCGCAGTGTCTGTTGGCACGCCGCGGAATTGTGCTGCGAGTTCATTGTATTGCTTTTGTAGGTTCTGCTCTGTTTCTTGGAGTGCGCTGGATGCTCTGACGAATGGTCAGATTGGCTTTTGGGATACGACACGGAGTTACTGACGATATATCCCCTGCTTCCTGTAACCTGATCCGCTCCTCGATAATGCTTTCAAGCCCTTCTCGTAGAGAATCTAAAGATCGGGAAATATGTCCATCTTGTGAGGTTGGTTCAAGATTCAGTGATATTGCTCGTTGCCTTTCTAGTAAGGACAGCTTGATGTGATCAGCGAGCAGGAAGTACTGGTTCGGGATGGCCATGGTTCCGAGATTAATTAGTTGTTTGTACAGAGAGAGGGATTGGGATCTGAAGAACGTTCTAATGTTGAAGCATGAAATTAAAATAATCCTTTGGAAGCAGAGTATTGGAATCTGGACTTTGGTATAGTTGGAGTTCAAGGTTCTAGGTTAGACAGGCGAGACAGGCAGCCCCATGGGCTGTACTCCACCTTGGAGACAGGCGCTAAGACAGAAGCGGTGTAGCTTCGTAATACAAGGGACCTCGAGTCGAGGCACCTCGCACTTCTTCTCTACAGTACTAAGGTTACGTTTCATTACAAGCTTAAACCGGGGAAAATTTTGCTCTAGAGAAACCACGATTTGTGGGGATATCACATCGACCTTGTTGCGATCAAAAACTTCAATTTATTCGCTCATCACAGATATCCCCCTACTCAAGACGTAGCAGAACACTGGAGAGATGTGCCATTGTCAGGAGTATTCCTCCAAAGTCCCCTCCCTTCCAGGAACCTTCTGATCCTCGTATCCTACGTAGAATCTAGCATTCCATTTATAATGCTTCCTCGAAGCTATTCTTGCTTAGATATTCTCTATAGTACGCTCTCTTATTCGTGACTCCTAGCAGCTACTGCAATTCGACTTTCGGCAGACTATAAAACCTATCACTCCTCAACGCTGTTGGTTCAGTGTCAAGCAAAGGATAGTGCTGCATATTATCCGAACTTTCCTGGAAGTCTGCAAAACCTTCATACATCAAGTCTTGTATATACCGGCGTCTTCGATTCAATATCTTAGTCTGGTGATCTGGTGGGAAAGAATCTTTAATTCCATAACCAAATGCGAGACATTACACATGGGTGACTGTGTTGATGGATGGCAGAATCGCCTCGAGAACGCTCTTGGACGTGTCCGGCGTCAATTCGGAGTCGCCATTCGTCAGGGAGGGAGGAGTTGCCTAGGAAAGCAGAAAGCAAGGCGAAGATATCTGGTAAGCATTTTTGAGCCTGCGGAGCGACGACGAGAGTTGGGAAGTCCTCTCATTTCAAAAAGAACCTTTAGCAAAATTACTGCACTCTCATAGAGAAAAGATCACAGAAACTCATGAATCTCCTCCCGAACATATATAATCTGCCGTCTTCGCTTCTGGAGAGACTGCACAAAGCGCCACATGCGCATCGGTTTGCTGATGCGGAACAATATTGATCAATAGAAACAGATACCTCAATTTCCAAATCCGTGTTCTCGTTAGATATTTACTTGTTTCCTCAGCTATCTCTTCGGGTGTGTTTTCATCAATTGGGTATAGAATAACTGGTGAGAAGGAAAGAAAAAGAATCGTGGGTCGCTGCTCGCGGAGTAGTAGTCGATACCCGTGAGTTTGCTGTGCTAACGATTCGCATAGTCGCAGATGAATTGGAGGTATGATTCTGTGCAAACTGCCGGTGTGGCAGCCTCGGGATCGAAGATTCGGAGACCTTGTCTGCTATTAGGGGGATTTAGTAATAAAGTTCACAACTTTGTACTTCAGAAAAGTTGCCTATTCAGGAAATCTTGCCAAGAGAGCGTCGTATGACGGCACAACGAAGATTCATTGGTAGCTACAATACAAAGTAGAAAAGACAGCGAGAGGAAGAGGTTCCTAAGGAGCCTCGAGTATAAGTAGGAGAGATACAGCCGCTAGTGAACTAGGCTAGTCCTAGGTTTACCGTATGACTCTAGCCTCGTAGCCTTGCGACGTCAGCCTCGCCCACGTGACTAGCCTATCGTGATCAGTCTATCACACACTTAAATGAAACACTTGGAATTTGACATATATCACTAGCCACGTTACGAGCGAGCGATGTTACCTTACAGGAGAAAGCAGGTTCCGGCCCTCTGTGGGAGGTGTACTTTCCTGAAATAACAACCTCTGAACTGTCAAGAATTTCTTATGACTATCATCTAGCTGTTAGATGACAGTCACCAAAATTTTGTAACAAGGATATTGTTAGTATCGTACCGGCAAACAAATAACAAGTGTATATCGATATACGTCAAAATCAAAGGTTCAGTTCAAAGGTGTTCAAAAGTGTGTATTGTAAAGATTATCTAAGGGTCAGAATATACCACCTCCCGAATGGCCCCTGGCTAGCCTCCGAAAGGGGTCCGTTCCTTGACTGGGATTACCTCTCCCCCTTGATTGCCCCCTAAACTTCCATTGTGTAACCCTAACCCCTTCTACTCACCCAAAGGCAGACTACTCTATCAATTCCTGGTTTGGCAGGTTCTCCACGCGATATCGCGTACTCTTCGGATCTGCGCATTCTCTCAGATAACGCTCTGGTACATTAAGTTATGTCGTGGTTCTCCATACTACCACAGAGCATCTCTTGCGTTGAAACATGGGCTGTCCGTATCTTTGTAAGCAATCTGTGACCTTCATCCAAAACCTAGAGACTAACATAGACAGCTCGTACTTGGGGTACTAGCAATCGGCCCATGGTTCCTCTTGATAATCTACGATATAATACTCTACGTCTTCCGAACTATAACATATGAGGTGCCTCACGTCGGTGGACGAGCAAGAAATAGACCACGACCAAGAGCTCCTAGCTTAAGTGAGAGGCTAAGCTTGAAACATAGGAGTTTTAGTCTAACAAGTCCAGGGCTACCTGTTGAATCTGTAGATAGCACAATAGAAGGACTGAAGAAGCGATTAGAGAGGCCAGGACACAACAGAGGGAGCAATAATGTTACATAAGATCGATCAAGCGGGACAAGAGGAACAACTTTTATGTATTTTGCTACTGCTTGAAGGAGGACTGAGGCAAGCGCTCTAGAACTTTTATCAAGTCTCCAGTTACCCCCATAGCAGTGACATCCCCGCCAGCTCCAGCACCTTGGATGATCAAAGGGTTAGCGCCGTATCGTTTGGTGTAAAAGCTGATAATGTTATCACTTCCCTTCAATGCCGCAATTGGATGAGACCGATCGAACTTTTCTAGCCCAACCTTCACTTCCTTCTTAGTTACATCAATGCTCCCTACGAACCGTACTACCTTTCCTTCCTTTTCAGCCGCAACTTTTGTCTCCTCCATCTGCGAATCGAACTCAGGCAGCTTCTGTAAGAACTCGTCTCCACTCGGAACACTCTCTAATTCCTTTGGAATCAAGCTCTGGACTGGGAATGAAGTAGGCGACTCAATGGGAAGTCCAGCCAAACGAGCCAAGATCGTTAACTTTCTAGCCACGTCTAGTCCGTTCAAGTCATCTCTTGGGTCTGGTTCTGTGTATCCCAACTCCTTTGCTTTCTTAACCTCCGCCGACCATTTACCGCCTGATCCTTCAGTTGGTGCAAACGAATTGAATAAGAAGGACATGGTGCCACTGAAAACACCCTCGATTCTCGTAACCTCGTCTCCAGTGTCGACCAGCTCCTTTAACGTGGCGATAACTGGTAGTCCGGCGCCTACAGAGCTCTCGTGGTACACCTTCGCACCGGACGTAGAAGCAGCAGAGAAGATGTCCTGCCACAGCTTGTATGAACCGGAGAAAGCCTTCTTATTCGGCGTAACAATGCTAATCCCTTCTGCAAGGAAAGCCGGGTACGCATCTGCTACATCTTGCGAGCTAGTGTTATCGACTAGGACAACCTTTGCAGGAGCTGCGGACAGATATTCGATGATGTTAGGTATGGAGAGGGGTTCTTGCGTCGAACCTGCGAGGGCAGTGGAGATGTTTTCGTAGGGTAGGGCGGTGTAGTTCGGGCTGTAGAGGACTGTCTTGCTTCGGCAGATGAAAATGAGAGAAAGGTTTTTGGAGGAGCGTTTAGAGAGGCCTTGGAGCTGAGAAATAAAGCATTTTCCAACCCCACCAGCACCTAGAAGCTGTTAGCTAGACTCAAGAGGCCAGAAAGCCTAAGACGCACCGATTATTGCAATGTAAACTTCTTTAGCTAAAGACATTGTAGGCAATAGGGATTGAAGCGGTTAACAGATCCTAGGGTCCAATTGGTAAGCCTCAAAGGATATAGATCATAAAATTCGAAGTTTGGAGGTAAAGTTTAGAAGGGCGGGATTTAGCGGTAGCAGCCCAGGACCGCCAGCCAAGGTACCCGCGCCACGTAAGAATAGGATCTTTGCTCTTACCTAGGTAATGGAATAGAATTAAGCTCCGAGATGGCGCGGTTGTATTTTTGTTGTCGATTGCTGTGAATCGAAATAGATCTTATGGGGAAAGCAAGTGAAAGATATTATCCTTGCTAGACTACCTTCTTAGAAGCTTTGAGCCTTAGGTAGATCCTGAAGCTGTGAAAGCTTTACCTTAGGTAGGTATAATAACCTCAACCTTAATCACGTGACTCTGAGAACCGGGATTCCGTCCTTAACTTACCTACCTAGCTTCCCCGCTATCTCTGTGCAGCGAGGCTGCGGAGCCTTAATCCAAAGACGCTCTTCCTCCCTTCAATCGTGACAGTCCTTTAACAACTTGACAAGGTACTTGCCAAGAACATTTACAGCCCAGACCACAGAAGGCAGCTACTTTATAAGTCTTCGATCCCTGCTACATCAGACATTCGAAGAGCAGATCCTAGGATACAGCAACGGAGAACCATTTTATCACCAGCGCCGAATTGTGAACCTGGCGTCCTTCTGCTGAGTGAAAAGGAAGGAGGGAGAATACACATAAGATGGCGGACAAGACAGCGAAATACCGGACGGAGATCCAGCAGGTGAGTTCATAGCGATAGCGATCTTGGGGCTTGGTGCCTGGGAATACTAATTGCGACAACTCATGTTCCTATGCTAGAGGGTTAGAAGATGTTAAGATAACCGTATAGGCTGATTTATCATGTTGAACAGATGATGTATGTGTCTGGAGAGACAGCTGAAGCATCTGCCGAGACTACAGGTATCATTGAGGAGATTGTACGGCAACAGGTTATTGAAATGGTAAGTCCATGGAATATCCTAAATCTTTCATTCATAGTTTAGCTTTGAAGACCACGCAGCTAATTAAATATAGCTCAGACAATGTACTGAGCAGGCTTCACGTCGAGGTAGCAGATCGATATCGACCGACGACTTAATCTTCCTGATCCGGCACGACCAAGCCAAGGTATCGCGACTCCGGACTTTCCTTTCCTGGAAGGATGTCAGAAAGAACGTCAAAGATTCTGATGATAAGGGTGGAGATGCTGATATTGGAACGGGTGATGAGCCGGTCGGAGCAGCAGCAGGTGGTCCTGTCGTCGATACAGCAAAGAAGAATAAGAAGGCCAAAGTCGGCTTACCTTGGGAAGTTCCATCATTCTACAACCAGGAAGTTCCGGAACGCGAAGATGAGGATGATGAGGATGAAGAGGAGATGAACTATGCGACTCTACAACGTCTCAAGAAAGCTGATGAGCGTACAAAGGCTATGACTAAGGAGGAGTATGTCACTTGGTCCGAATACCGTCAAGCATCATTTACCTTCCGTAAGGGCAAGAGATTCAAAGAATGGGCGGGCTTTAGCGTTGTCACAGACTCAAAACCAAACGATGACATCGTTGATATTTTGGGTTTCCTGACATTTGAGATTGTGCAGACATTAACCGAGGAGGCTCTCAAGATCAAGGAACAAGAGGACCTTGTGAAGGATAAGACAGGTGGAGAGCAGATAGGCAAGAAGCGCAAGATTCAAGGATTATTTGACCCTCCATCTGAAGGACGTACGCCTGTTGAATCGAGACATATCCAGGAGGCTTTCAGGAGGCTGCAAATCCGACCGACCAAACAGCGTGCAATGTGTAATTTCTCAAGGGGTCTTAATCGCACACCACTAAAACTTGTATGTCCTACTTATCTATCCTTGGTTTATGCTAATGTGTCCTCTAGTTTTGAGACTGTGTACCTTACGGCGTTATAGGACTCTAGAACTTGTCAGGCTCTTGGTATTAGCGTTGGATGATTCCCTGAAGTATAAAGTCCAGGTGTTATAAGGCGTTGAAGTGTCACAGCCGTGTCGAGTATTTATTTTCTATTCGATACTTCCTGGTACTTGTACGAAGAGTGACTCTAGAATCGATATTTGTATTCCTGTACTATATATGTTGTGCTCTTGGGTAATTAAAGTGAGTAGCAAAGCTGGCGCTAAGTTGAGTTTCTAAATTAAACGTTGGAGAGATCTGAAGGGTAATACGGGCAGTCGATACGGAGGAGGCCCTGAGGGCCTCCAAAGCCCATTCGAGATTGCCGAGGATTCTCCATGACGTTGCCGAAAACCCCACTATGCCGCATCTATGCCCGTGGCCACTTGCCCTAGGTAGCTGCCTCAGACGAGGAAACTCGGAATAAAGTATATCCGATCCCGGTTAGAGTATCGACTAATGACATCTTCGACTAGTTATCAATTTGAATCTCCTATCTTCCAGTTGTGAATGAAATTAGAATTCACTATGGCTTCGAAAGGTTGCAAAGCATGTACCACTTGCGTCAGAACTGTCCGACGACAATCGCTTCAGGTAAGTACCTCTTTCAAACAATACATACTTCTAGACTAACCATGAGAGCAGCTTCAGATATCAAGACTTGGAGCTGTACGTCAAAGAACATTCACAACGACCTCGAACCCATATGCCGAATCCCGTAAATCGAATATTACACCATCGCCATCAGCGCTGTCTTTATTATCAAGATCTCCAACTTCAACAATTGGCACTGATTCAGATTCAAAAAAGAAGTCTGCTACACTAGTGACCATGAAAGCTGCTGCTGGACTGCAAAAAGTGACAGGCAAGGCGACTGAGACGTATACAGCCTACGGGGCCACTGAAGTTCTTTACAAAGAGTGTGCGCGACAGGCAAACTATTTGATAAGTCAAGATGCAAACTCGGAGGAGGAGATACCAAAAACCGAGGACGGAGAGGATCTAGGCGTTGGTGATGGTTGGTGGCTACAAGGCAAGTTTAGGCATGTCAGGCCAAGACGTGTAGCCTCATCTGACAAATTGCACAGGAGCAGGTTTGAAGCCCACGTTCAGTACCTGGTCGCAGGTGACTATGCTACATATGTACCTTCTCTCTGTGAGGATTCGATGCTTTCCCCTACCGTCACATAATACATGGCAGCAGCACCTCCTTGATCACTTTTTCCACGACGCGGAGAATCGTATGACGATTTACCATAACATGCATGCCTCTGGGACAAGAAGCAAATATCTCAAAGACCTATTCATTCAATGGAGAGGTTTACTAGCAGCATACGACGAGGGTTTGGTCAAGGGGGATGCTGTATTAGCAGCAGCTGTTTGGAGGAATATCTTTAAGGCAAATGAAGAGGTCGATATTAGGGTCTTGGGACAGATTGTCAGCTATATGCGAAGGGTGTTAAAAGGACTAGATTCCTTGCCCGACGAGAAAATTAGCCAGGCAACACTGGAATTTGGTAGTCCTGAGGTCGAAAGTGCTATCGTTCATCAGCGAAGCAGATCCATGGACTTGCCTTTCGAAAATGCCTCCGGGACAAACTTTCCCGGTGGAAAGCGATCATGAACACGATTTCTCAGTCGGCTATATTAATTTGTGGAAATATGTACCTAAGGATGTATAAGTAAGCATGTTAGACTAAGCTTCTGGCAAGGAAGCCTCAGCTGTTTAAAAGTATCAGCTTGTACGAAATCTGCAGCGTTATCTCACCGGAATATTAATAGTTCCGACTATCGTCTCCGGTGGCAGGCAACGATATTGTAACCGCCGGGTCCCGATCAGCCGCCGCGAGCCTCTCCAAACTCTTCACCAGACCCCCAGCCTAACAACCCAGCCAAGCCAAAGCCACCAGGCAGCAAAACCCTCAATCGCGCAGTATCGGGTGCAAAGGGAAGTGGCCGATTAAGACACGTGCACCCCCTGTGCAAATCGTATTTTCGAAGTAAAGTAAACAAAGTATCGACAATGCCTCCTCTTACGCGTCGACGTTCTCGACACTAAAAGACTATACTCCACCTCCTGATCTTGCGTATAATAAAGTTAGATATGTCGATACTCTTGCGCGAACCGCTATTATTATTTGTAAGCTCTTAAAGCAAGAACTCAATGTTCTGATCCCTTGTACATTAGTTTAGAAGATCTCTAGCGACTAGGTAGAAGTTTGTGCAATACAAGATCTATATTCCTGAAAAGTCAAAGGGACAGGCAAGTTCTACTTGAGTAAACTGCCGGTACCTTATTACTTCTCAATTCCGCTTGAAAAATTGAGACCAAGCAGGCCCCTTACTGCATGTCGGCCGATCTTCGGCTCTGCCCCCAACAAGGCTGGGATTTTGACCCCGCAATTCTACAGCCTTCCCTACAGTATGATCAATATACAATTTTCAGTCCACCGACTTACACTGTCAGCAAAGATCAACGGACGTCACATTTCCTTATTTGCTGTTGAACCTCTTCTAATTAGCCAAACTGCATTCAATCCGCAAATTGGTCCGCTTATTCAGCGGCGACTACAATACTATGGCGTGGCACTGTGGCGGCAGGACAAACGCTGAATTGATTGAGAACCTGTTCAAAGCCAAGCTTATAACTAGTTCTAGAGTTCGGGATGCGATGCTCAATGTCTGTACCCACCTGTCACTCTATATACTGGTGAGGGATTGACGGCTCAAGGTTGATCGTGCCCACTACTGCCCAGACCCATACTACGCCTACGAAGACTCACCTCAAAGCATCGGGCACGCTGCTACGATATCTGCTCCACATATGCATGCCTCGGCCGCCGAGTCCCTTCTCCTGTTCCTAAAGCCTGGTTGCAGAGTACTAGATATAGGCTCGGGATCTGGATACTTGACTGCCGTGCTGGCAGAGCTCGTAAGTCCTCAGAAAGAATCTAGCGCAGATACTGCCATTGCGAGAGTGGTAGGACTGGAACATATAAAGGCGTTGAGGGATCTAGGTGAAAGGAACATGTCAAAGAGTGAGAGGGGTAAAGAACTGTTGAAGGATAACAGGGTGAGCTTCGTTGTAGGTGATGGTAGGAAAGGCTGGACCCATGGCCAGGATAGTGAGAAAGGATGGGATGCTATTCATGTTGGAGCAGCTGCTGTTGAACTTCACCAGGAATTGATTGATCAACTGAGAAGTCCAGGCCGGTGAGTTATCGCTACTTTAATTGACAGCAGGAAGAGTGTCTTATCTGGTCATTAGGATATTCATTCCAATTGAAGATCCTCGCGGAGGAGGTCAGTACATCTGGGTCATCGACAAAGACGCCGATGGTGTAGTGACAAAGAAGAAGATGTACGGGGTGAGATACGTTCCTCTGACGGACGCCCCGAACTGAAAGCGGCCGAGCTTGACAATTATGGACTTCCCTTCCATGATCTCGAGTTTGCAACAGTGATGATTAAGGAGTAAGGGAAGAATCCCCGTCCACAGACACTCACGAGGCGTTAGGGACAGCGTTTAGGTGCGATATTTCAAAAGTCAATCTGCGTTCAACTCAACAAGTAGCGGAGAGGTTCGCCATCACATTCCAACAACATCGCTTCTCTTCCTGTTTTCTCGCCTTCCGTCTTAAGTTGTATCATATTTCATTCCCATCCTTGAAACCCTTTTCGATTTTGCTTAAGTAACTTTCTTCCTCATCGAAGTATCGAAGTACTCACATGTGCCGTCCTCTATTTTCCTCCTGGCTTCTTCTACTCATTTAAATCACCCGTATCAGCACGGCGATCTCACAACTTGGTAACTTTAGCCTGCTTTCCAAAACTTTCCGAAATGCGAGGTCCACCCCTCTTATCTCACACGAAAACAGTATCCACTTTATGTTCCTCACACGGTATATGTTCTTCTTTTTAAGCTTAAATCACAGGCATGTGAGATTTCCGGATACGCATTGTAGTCGAATCGTTCGGTAATCAGAATTGTGTTAATTCCATGCCGAACTGAGACTAGCTCCCAAGTCCATCATTTGCAAGTTGTAACACCGCCTCGAACCTACAGATTAGAAGTCAGAAAATCAGACCGAACCCCCAAACTTAGCGCGCTAGACCTCGCCTCGCATCAACTCTCACCTTGAAGCACTAGCGAAGTCAATTGTCTCGTCCCAAGATCCCTCCTCGTTCCCTGCGAAACCGCGTCTGAAACAACCGCCAAGGTGCACCCATCATCCGATCTCCCTCAAGCGACTCCACTCTAAACGTTTTGACACTCCTAATCTGGAGTCTATTCCTCGATTCTGCGACTCTCCTATGGCCGTCCTCGTGCTCTCACTCGGACAGGTTTAAAGTCGATCATATTCCGCGTTTCGTCTGATCTTCTTCTCTTCTCGCTCTCACTTCATCAATCCACTCGTTTCTCTTTCTATTGTTCACTTACTATTCGGCAACTGTGTTGTTTTTATCTTATTGTCTTTCTTCTGCAACTGGTCTTGCTTGTAAAATTCCCCTCACTCTTTCTACGATTCAAGAAGTCAATCGTCCAGGACAAGAATCTCTTCACATCTCCTCCACCTGTAACATGTACTCCACAGCCCTAATCAGCGCTCTTGCCCTCGCTGGCACCGCTCTCTCAGGTATGATAGAATCTGCTCCATCTCACACCCTCTCTAAAACCCAGCAATTCCCTGGACACCAACAACGGACTAACCCACTCTCCAGTCCCCCTCTTCGTCCCTCGACAAACTACAGCCTGCTTCGTCGTTGGCTCTACCACCCTCCCTGCCGAAGTCCAAGACGTCGTAACCTCCCTCCAAGATACCATAACTTGCTCATCCACTGTGAAAACCATCTCCGGCGTCCCCGATGTCACATCTGGCAGCACAACCTTCTCCAGCATCGACTTTAGCGCCTCCTCGTCCTCTCCCCTGGCCTTCGCGCTCTCCGAGTTCGCCACCGACACTCCTCTCGCCTCTACCGACCTCGCGCTCTTTCAAGACCAGCTCAACGTGTATCTCGCTACGGAAGCGGGTATTAGAAGTGTAGGCGGAGGATTAGGGATCAAGGCACCGAAGTTTTTCTTAGCCATGCAGGTGGCGAGGATCAAGACCGCGCAGGGGATTGCCATTACAGATCCTGGACAGACCGTTGAGCATTTACTCGGTAAGGTTACGAAGAACGCAGTGAGGGAGAGTCAGACGACACTAGATCAGATCACGGCTCTTGCGAGTCAGCTGGCTTAGATGGCGGAGAGGTAGTGAGATGTGATGAGACGGTAGGAACAGCAGTATGTAGAGAAGGTGCGGAGTAGATAGGCTGGTGACTTGGTTTCTTGTATATTAAGAGGTTGACAATCATTGTAGTATAAGAAGATGTAACTTGACAACTGAAGTAGGTGCAAATCGGTTGAATAGTGAGAGCTACCGTCTTATGAGAATCAAAGACAGGTCTAAAATAGGAGTAAAAATGTGAGAATCACCGATGATTATTTCGCAATATAGGGTATAGTGGAATCAAGAAAGAACATATCGCTGCGAACAAGCGAGCTTAGCAGCAGCCCACTGCCTCTTGGAGGCAGATTCGCTCCCTAGGTACAGAAGGATAAAATTTGACCAAGACAAAGCCGGAATATAATTCCATTCTTAACACAACTTACCTGTAACTTCAGGCAAGAACAACATGAAATGATTTTTGAGAGATGAGATAGAAACCAGGTGAAAGTTCACAAAATGCGATAGATGTACTTATATTCACCAATTCCTAGCTTAGCGCCGCCTAAGCATAAACGCCGTGAGCTACTACTGCTCATTTAAACCTACCCCAAACACACAAACGCTTGGCCTTGCTTGGCCATGCCATATGAACGCCACGCAAACACTATCAACCACTCGGCTCAGACCACGGTGGCAGGTTCCTCTCCGGTAGCAATTACAGGCACATTCAGACCCCGCTCTGGACTCTGCAAAACCAGTTGCTCGTGTCTTCTCGCCCTGAGGAAATCGCTGACTGCCCGAATCAAGATGAACCATCCCACAATCATGAGGATATAAGCCAGCCAATCGTTTGTCCCAATATCGCCCCAACCTCCAGAGCCTGAGTCCATCCCCTGCGCTGAATTTCCATTGACTGCGTTAGGGTCGAAATCGTGACTGTTGGGGTCTGGAGGTTGCTGGTAAGTAGGGTCTTGGCCATTAGATGGGGGACTCATGCCCCCTGAGCCTTTCATGTAGAAACCATATTGAACAAGAGTGATACCAAGGCCAGCACGAGATCCATTCTTAGCTGCATGTGTGGTATGAAGTAGGTAGGTGAGGAGGAAACCAACGAGTTGGAAGGACATCGAAATCATGCCGTTCCAGATAAAGGAGAAGACGGAGCCAACGGGGAGTCCATCGACGTAGACTTCATCTGGTCCGCCCATTCCCGGTGCGAGAATTGTGGTTTCCCAGTATGGAGGGGCAGCATCTGCTGCTGCCTGTTCGTATGTCTGTATTTATGTTAGCAAAAATATTTCCCATGCCAATGAATAAAACGTACAGGCGGATGTTCCTCCAATTTCTCACCCCGCTCTGGCTTCGCACTCAGGTTCGCAAACACACCATCTGATCCAGATCCACCGCCATAAACTCTTCCATTTGTCTGAGGATGAGGAGGAGTAGTGAAGACCGGAATATGCGTCTGCCTTCTCTCGACGATTGGTCTGGAGTCTTCGCCGATCGGATTGGTAGGAGGTTGATTATCGACATGATCGGTAGACGAAGACGTTGGCGTTCCCCGCATTAATCTCTGTCTATCATCACCATCGTTATCTTCATCGCTATCAGACCCATCTGCATCGAAAGTATCGGCAAGATTCTGATCCACGGCCGTGTGTCTCGAAGTCGGGGAGGAGGCTCGTGAGCGGAAAGACGGAGGTGGCGAGGATGGAATCGTAGGACTTATCAGAGTCTCTGTATCGTTCGCAGATACCTGTTGATGATTGTTAGAGAAGTATTCGATTAGGCTGTTCAACATTGTTCTTCTGTGGCGAGACTTGGCGACGGTGAGACGTACTTTTTGATAGCGCTGGGAGGACATTGTGAACAGCAAGGGGAAGCGGAGGGCGATGAAGACGGAGGTATTATATAACAGGAGCAAAGAGAATGAAGACTGTCGCCGTGAGCCGGACCGCGGCCTGGGTACTAAGTGAATTGAAGGTAGAGGACAGGCAAGGAGCGTGATGGTGATGAGGTTGTTGGTGGTGGTGGTGGTGGTGGTGGTGGTGGTGCAGGTGTGATGTGAAGCAGGTAATCAACCAGGCCTCAGGAGACGAGTGACGGGATGTCGTGGACTGCGGAGGGCGGAGTTGTCGGCTGTCGGAGTGTCTGAGTCTGAGGTGCCGGTGAGGGTCAGGGTGAGGGTGAGGGTGAGGCTGTGGCTGTGTCGGATTTACTCGTAGGGAAGCGCTTGCGGCATATTATTATTCCTGACAGAGAGGAATACCACCTCATGCTTGAATATATTATGTTGTAATAACCGCTATATTACTCGTATTTCCTGAGGACTTACTTACTCTTACGAGTAGGTAAGATAGGTACCTTAATTTACAGGCAACAGACCCCACCGAGCCCACCCCAAGGACCCGCCCCTGGACCTGGTCACCTGATCAGACGCCGGCCACCCCTGACATAGACTGGAACGAAAGAACAGTGACACCAAGAACACCAGTTGCAGTTGCAGTTGCAGCACCATTTCAGCCAACAATCGAAGAAGTAGAAGACGAAGACGAAAACGACTTGCCGGAGCAGGCGACTACTACTGTCCATTGGGCAGATACATAACGATCGAAGAAATCATTCCCCCGAAAGAAAACAGAGACATGCCATGCCCTAGAGAGCCTCAGCTTCAAATACGAGGAGAGTGAAGGCCATTAATACCTTAGTGTCCGCCCTCCCCTCCCCACATAGCTTATCCATCACCACCACCACCTGCATTTACCACACGGTATTGTTCCCACCTCCCGAGCTCCCCCACCGACTTGACCGCATCATTTCCTAGCACGGGTATTCGAACGCCCGCCGTGCATCAGCGTCAAACGTTGTCCTGTGCCTGTACTCCGTACTCCGTACTCCTTCTGACCTTGCTCACAAACGCCTAAGGAGCCTGTCCGAGACTCCTAGTTCCGCAATCAATGAGCCTAGCATCAAATCCACCGTCAACTGGTGGCCCATCTTCTATTGCCGCTCAGCAACGTACCCAGACTTTAAAGAGGAGCGTGCAACAAGCCTTTAACGGTATTCGACATTCTCTTACAGCATCTTTCCAGCCCTACTATACTTCTGCTTATAGTTCTATATACGTGCTTATTGCTCGCTTCCCTTCATACTTTCGCACTCCTTTGTTATTCTGGCACTATTTTCAACTTTTAAAGCTGAGGCGATCCGACTTTCCCCTCTTCAGGCATCTTTGTTTGAATGTTTCCAACTAGACGGCCTCTATTCCGTGTGTGCTCTTGTTTCTACCCTGAACTTTTACTGATATGACTGATAGATCCGGCGGATCGTGGAATTAGCCCCAATGTGGGCTATCAGAGCAAAGTTCGAGTTATAGACCGTTACAAAGTCATTGGTTTTATCAGCAGTGGCACTTATGGACGAGTTTACAAGGCAGTTGGCCGTCATGGCCAGACTGGTGAGTTTGCTATCAAGAAGTTCAAGCCAGGTATGTGCTCTTTTACAGGATCCTAAGACAAGCAAGCTGAGTTGATATCTAGATAAGGAGGGTGAACAAATCCAGTATACTGGAATCTCCCAGTCAGCCGTGAGAGAAATGGCATTATGTTCTGAACTCAGTCACATCAACGTGATCAGACTTATCGAGATTATCCTGGAAGACAAATGTATCTTTATGGTGTTTGAATACGCTGAGCATGATTTACTTCAAATTATTCATCATCATACGCAACCGACCCGACATCCAATTCCGCCATCAACGGTAAAATCTATCATGTTTCAACTATTGAATGGATGTCAATATCTACATGCCAACTGGGTTCTCCACCGAGATCTTAAGCCAGCCAATATCATGGTGACTTCAAGTGGCGAGGTTCGTATCGGAGATCTCGGCTTAGCACGACTGTTCCACAAGCCATTACACAGCCTATTCTCTGGCGACAAAGTAGTCGTTACTATCTGGTACCGAGCTCCGGAACTGCTTCTAGGATCAAGACATTACACGCCTGCTATCGATATGTGGGCCATTGGTTGTATTTTCGCGGAGCTGCTATCCTTACGACCAATCTTCAAGGGCGAGGAGGCGAAAATGGATAGCAAGAAAACTGTACCGTTCCAAAGAAACCAGATGCAGAAGATCGTGGAGATCATGGGGATACCGACAAAGGATAAATGGCCGCACTTAGTCAACATGCCTGAGTATAATCAATTAAGTACTCTCTCAGGTTCCCATTCGAAATCCGGATCCAATCTCGAGAAGTGGTACTACGCTACTATCAATGTACACAGCGGCACTAGTGCACCGTCGTCTAATGCCTCCCTCGGCGTAGAAGGCTATAAACTGCTGTCGTCTCTCCTCGAATACAATCCTGAGCGACGTCTTACTGCTCAGCAGGCACTGCAACACCCATTTTTCAGCACAGGCGATAAGGTTAGTAGTAATTGCTTCGAAGGCATTAAGACAGAGTATCCGCATAGACGGGTCAGTCAAGATGACAATGACATCCGCACGAGCAGTTTACCTGGTACGAAGCGGAGTGGCTTGCCGGATGATACAAGACCTATGAAGAGACTGAAAGAGTGATGAGTGGGTCTACCTCTAGCTCGCCTTGCCTCGCCCTATGAGTTCGTAGGTAGGAAGCTTGAAATTATGCTTTTTGGGCATAATGTAATAGATCTTGCCGAAGGACTTTACAGTTGCACCCTCCTTGTGAATGGCCTTATTTTCCAAGTGATCCAGATATTAAGGGTCCTTCTACGTATTGAATGTGATATTACTCTATCCATGATTTAACTCAACCTCACTCTTTCTTGGTCCTCACTAGAAACAAATCTATCCAAGCAATATTCCCACCAGATTATAGATGCCAAGGAGAAGAAATGTGTTTAGAAGAGTGTAGAATATATACGGGCTGGCCGTACTTCTTGGGTGGCGATAACCACCAATGGAACATATTAAGCCGGTCGTCATTTGATCGTATCGAGTCTTACTTTGATCGACCCACCCAGTGACTACCTTATATATTAATACTTCGAACCGGGTAAACAAGGTTGATTTAGCCGCAGAGGAACAGAAATCCATATCCAGGCACCAGAGCGATCTGAAGGCCCAAATTGATACAATATATCCCTTTTCCCCAAGCATCTCACCCATATGTAATCTCCAATTTTGGTGAAAGTTTCGCGGGCCAGTGCTCACTCGTCATAGGCCAAGGGAATTCCCTCGCTGGTCAATTATCCTAAACATTACATATTTCCGCCCAGGCAAAAATACTTCATTTGAAGTATAGAAAAGCAACGAAACGAGATTGCGAGCACAGAATTGCCATATCGAGGATGCGTTCCTGAAAGCCATCAGGAAAGGTTTAAATGCACTTCCCCACTTCAGAGTTGACCTGACTTCAACACTCAAGCTCAAGATTTCCCTAGCCCTCAAGATGCTTCTCACGTTTGTAATCTTCGCCACTGTCTCTTCAGCTGTAGCTCAAACCGCAGCAAACTGCAGCGTCAAAGGATACGACACTGGCAAGCAGCCAGCTTTCCTCACCAACCCGAACATTACGACAACCACAGGCTGCAAGACCTTCTGCGCGGAGACCATTTACGACAAATGCCAGAGTTTTGCTGTTGGGCCGTTCTGTCTACTGTATAATGTTACGGTGACTGGGAATGTTAATGTGGTGTCTGCTAGTCCGTGGACGTTTTATGATGCGGCTTGTAAGGTCTGAGGTAAGTTGGAAGTTCCTGGTATTGTGGGAGCTGATAGGAGGTTCTGACGTGTCTAGAGGTGACTTATATTGAAGCCCTTGGAGTCGTGAGATCCGGACTGATTGAGACCAGAGGCGGCAGTATGACGGGTTGGTGTGGGCATGTCACCTGTTTGGATTTTGGAGATGTTGGGAGACGTAGAGGGTCCTAGTATTCAATTCTTGGAAATACATGCTTGCTGCAACAATGCGTTTGAAAACTTCCTACCTACCAATAAGCCCCCAGCCCGAATATAAGTACTGTAGGACTTCGCTTGCTCTTGGGGTTTCTATTTTGAATTGGTTCAAAGCGGGGTTACGAAGTTAGCAGAACCAGGGGCCTAAAAAGCTGCCTCTGCAAATCCGAAAAGCAGGCAAGTCCCCGGCAGGTGGGCAGTACGCCGTACGAGTGGTTTGAACACAAATAGGAGAGATTTGAGGGGACAATAATAATGCACCCGACAATAATACTGTAGTGATCCAGGCGAGACATGTTGTGAAAGTAAAGTTAGACTTAAGGTGCTGATGTCCCCGCCCCTCTATGCTAATCGGCGATAAGGTACAATAAGGTATTGTAGTTTACTCGTAGCCGGCGCCAATCAAGCCCATAACGTAATCGTCCAGACGTTGTTTCGAGCTAAGACTTGGCTCGCAACAAACGCCATCAAAGCTCCCCTCGAAACAATACAATTGAGTTTATATCTTCCCTTTCACTTCGGTCCCCCCCTCAAATCCCTTAAAGTTGTCTGTTTCTGTTTTCTTCTTGTACATACTCTATGACGTCCATCTCCTATGAATTTCTTCCTACCCAATCTCATCCTTTCCTTTCGACCAAGAACTCCCAAGAACCAAGTCGGCTAGAAGCTGCGCCGAGGTCCGACCCAGACTCGTATCCAAAACTTTTGTCACTCCACGCGTCCTTCAACTTGGCGATGGCTTCATGATTGTGGTGGCCGAGTCATCGAAGATCTCGTCCCGAAGTTGCTGCGTGCGGCACTTAAAGCACGAGGTGTTAGTAGTGCCATCTCGACCTCCTCCCACCATCATCAACAAACCCCGCCACTGTCAACATGGGGCTTCTCAAACAGACCTGGACATTGACACGTAAGAACCTTCTGATCGCCTTCAATCGTCATGCCTTTAGTACCAGTATCCGTGCCTTCATCCTCCCTGTGGCCTTTATGATATTCTTGAGCTATGCCCGGAATATCTTCGTACCTCCTTCGAATTATGGCATCGGCTCCCCACGTCCCATTCGCACGCTGGCAGAAGGAATCAGGGCGGGAGGAGCTGGAAGAGAGACATTGGCATTTGTGAATAATGGTCTAGCAGGAGGAGATATCGACCGGGTCATCGATGCTCTGGTACAAGATGCATCCAGCGCTGGAGCAAAGGTCGCACGACTAAGCACCGGAGAGGAACTGCTGGATACCTGCAGAAGCAGTCTGCGAGGCGCAACGGAATGTTATGGCGCCGTGGTTTTTCATGCTTCACCAAGCGAAGGAAATGGGGGTCTCTGGAACTATACGCTGAGGGCAGATGGTGCCTTTGGAGAGAGGATATATGTTGAACGAAGCACGAACGATGCGCAGATATACCTCCTTCCCCTCCAACGAGCCGTGGACTATGCGATCGCAGGATTGAACAGCACAACCGGCCAAGCATCTCTTCCCCAGACGGTCCTTGAATATCCATACACTAGCATATCACAGAAGCAAAGAGAAACGAATATTCGGGTCAACTACCAAAGCGGAATCATCAACATCCTGGCGGTTGCATTTCTGATCGGGATGGTGGGAATCACGTACCACCTAACAGGATTTATTGCCTCGGAAAGAGAGTTAGGAATGTCGCAACTGATCGAAGCTATGATGCCCAATCTGAAGAGATGGCAGCCACAAGTTGCTCGAATTCTGTCCTATCATCTTGCATTCGATATCATCTACATTCCAGGTTGGATCATAATGCCAATCGTCCTGGGCGTCGGCGTATTTGCCGAAACATCGATGGCTATAGTAATCATCTACCATGTCCTGGCTGGTTTGTCTCTTGCCTCCTGGTCAATCCTCGGCGCATCTTTCTTTAAGAAAGCGCAGCTTAGTGGCATATCCATGGCTTTGATCACCTTGTTACTTGGTGTTCTTGTACAAGTACTCAAGTTCAAAGGTAATGGATCCGTTGCAATCCTGTCACTCCTTTTCGTGCCATGTAACTATATTTTCTTTCTGACTTTCATGGCGAGATATGAACGCCGAGAAATGGCGACGAACCTCTTCAAGGCTGCCCCAAGGAATCCATGGACTCTACCAGGAATCGCACTCTTGGTGTTTCTCATCATTCAGATTTTCGCATACCCAATTCTTGGCGCCATAGTGGAACGATATCTCTATGGGACTGCATCAAAAGGACGTTCTGTCACCCAAGGCCTGGGATCGGATGGCGAGTCTTCTTCAGAGACTGTCCAGTTGGACAGATTTACAAAGCACTATCGTCCAAACTGGTTCCGCCGGAAATTTGCTAGATTTACCAAAACCCCGACCGCTACCGTTGTCGCTGTGGACAAGTTGACTCTACATGCAAGGAAAGGTCAGATAAGCGTCCTCCTTGGTGCAAACGGAAGTGGAAAGAGCACGACTCTTGATGCCATTGCTGGATTGAATAAAGTTACAGGTGGGACCATCAAGGTTGACGGCACGGGCGGGCTTGGTATTGCACCTCAGAAGAATGTTCTCTGGGACGAGTTGACTGTAGAGGAGCACATCCGGGTCTTCAATCAGCTGAAGACTACTGGTAGCAGAGATTCCAAGGATACCATACGCAGTTTCATTGCGGCGATTGATCTTGATCGAAAGATTAATGCAAAGGCAAAGACCCTTAGTGGAGGTCAGAAGCGGAAATTGCAGCTTGGAATGATGTTTACCGGCGGCAGCTCTGTTTGTTGTGTGGATGAAGTCAGTAGTGGACTGGATCCATTGAGTCGTCGCAAGATCTGGGATATCCTTCTGGCCGAGCGAGGTGCCCGAACCATCATTCTCACGACTCACTTCCTGGACGAAGCCGACCTCCTCTCTGATCAAATTGCTATTCTTTCCAAAGGAACACTTCGAGCCCAAGGCTCATCCGTCGAGTTGAAGAATCGTCTTGGAGGTGGATACCGAATTCATCTTCAAACAGGTCCTGGTCACGAAAAGGCTCCGGAGATGGAAGGCGTGGAGTCACATAAGACTTTCGGTCAGACAATGTACTCGGCTCCCACATCTTCGCAGGCAGCACAGATTATACGTAAATTGGAGGCAGATGGCTTGTCAGACTACCAACTTTCGGGGCCAACCATAGAAGATGTGTTCTTGCACCTAGCTGACGAAGTGAAGTCTGAGAGTTCAAGCAGTGTCGATCGGCAAGTTTCTCCCGCCATTTCAAACGAGAAGACTGTTGCCGCCGCTGTTCAGCCCGAAACTGGCCGCATCCTAGACCTCCACACCGGAAAGAGCATTGGATTCTTCCGACAAGCATGGGTCTTGTTCAGGAAGAGATACACAATTCTGCGCCGAAACTATTTACCATACGTTGCTGCTCTCCTTCTCCCCATCATCGCTGCTGGACTTGTTACCTTGTTTCTCAAAGACTTTGCCCCAATTGGTTGCTCTCCTGAACAAGCTGTTTCGCTCTCAGATGTCGAGACACTATTTTCTCAACAAAAGTATAACTTGCTTGTTGGGCCATCGTCAAGATTTTCAAATACCACGCTCACATCACTTTATGGGCCACTTCTACCGTTCGTCCCTCCTCAAAATATGATACAACAGAGTCTCCATATGGTGGATTCGCTTGCAGACTTCAACAACTACATTGACAGGAATTATGCGAATGTTACTCCTGCCGGTTTTTTCATCGGCTCGGGCAACTCTGAAACCACTTTGGCATACAAGGGTAACGGGAACATTTACACTGCGATCTTTGGTCAGAATATCATGGATGTCGCCATCACTAATATCAGCATCGGGACACAGTATGCTTCTTTCGATATTCCTTGGGCTCCAAGAACAGGAAAGACCCTTCAACTTGTTGTGTACTTCGGACTGGCCATGGCCGCTTACCCAGGATTCTTTTCTCTATACCCCACTATTGAACGTACCAGGAATATTCGAGGGTTGGAATACTCGAATGGTGTAAGATCTCTGCCACTTTGGCTTGCATACCTGACATTTGACTTTCTAATTGTTCTGGTCTCGAGCGCTCTGAGTGTCATCATCTTCGCCACATCGTCATCTGCGTGGTACCACGTCGGATATCTCTTCGTCATCTTTATGCTATACGGCATGGCTTCAATTTTGCTCGCATACGTGGTATCGTTGTTCGCCCGAACTCAGCTGGCAGCGTATGCAATTGCAGCAGCTGGCCAAGCTGTCTTCTTTCTTGGATACCTTGTTGCTTACCTCTGTACGCTGACATATGCTGTAAGTACTCCCTTCAGCCAGTTGTTCTAAGCTAATACCTTCCAGCCTGTCAATAGAATTGATGATTATCTCCTTGTTGTACACTTCGTTGTGTCTCTCGTTACCCCTATGGGAAGTCTCATAAGGACCTTGTTCGTGGCTCTTAATATCTTTTCCACGACCTGCGATGGAAAGCAGATTGCCTCGAACCCCGGTGGCATGCTTCAGTATGGTGGTCCAATCCTCTACCTCATTGTACAAGTCTTTGTTTTGTTTGGAGTTCTTCTTTGGTACGACTCTGGATCGGTCTTGGCTTGGTATCGTCGACTTCGCAAATCTCCTATGCCAGAACAATCGGATCCGGTATCAGATGAGGAGATCGCAGAGGAATTAGCACGAGTCAGCAGCTCGAATGACGGTCTGCGGGTTCTCAATCTCACCAAGTCTTTCGGCCCCGTCACAGCTGTGGATAACCTTACCTTCGGAATTAGGCGTGGAGAAGTGTTTGCTCTTCTTGGGCCCAATGGTGCTGGGAAGTCAACAACGATCTCTCTGATCCGGGGAGACATTCAGCCATCGAAGAATGGTGGAAACATTATCGTCGAGAACATCGAAATCAACAAACATCGTGCTCAGGCACGTTCCCATCTTGGCGTGTGCCCACAGTACGATGCCATGGATCAGATGACTGTTGTCGAGCATCTGCAATTCTATGCTCGAGTTCGTGGAGTTCCTGATATCGAGCATAACGTTCGAGAAGTTATCAGAGCTGTTGGTCTCGAATCTTTCTCTTCGCGCATGGCAGCAAAGCTGTCTGGCGGAAACAAGAGGAAGTTGTCGTTGGGGATCGCTCTCATCGGAAATCCTACCGTGCTACTTCTTGACGAGCCTAGTTCTGGTATGGATGCTGCAGCCAAAAGAGTGATGTGGAAGACACTTGCCGCCGTTGTGCCTGGCAGATCACTTCTCCTCACGACACACAGTATGGAAGAGGCAGATGCTCTTGCTGATCGTGCTGGCATCATGGCCAAGAGGATGCTTGCCATGGGTACAACTGATGGTCTGAGACAGAAGCACGGCGATGCGTATTACATTCATCTTGTGATAAAGACAGCACCACATACTGCACCGGAAGAGATCGAGGTGGTCAAAGCATGGATCATGAACCAATTCCCGCAAGCTGATATTGAGGACCAGACATACCATGGCCAGATCAGATTCTCTGTGCCGAAGACAGCGAGTGATGATGAGATGAAGGAAGAGAAGGATGGTGTGGGGTCTCTGATCATGATCCTTGAGGATCGACGCGAGGAGTTGGGGTTGGAGCATTATTCTGTGAGCCCGACGACACTGGACCAGGTGTTTTTGTCTATTGTCCAGAAGCATAATGTAGAAGAGGAAGGATATACGAAGTCGACTAATGGAGGACGGGGTTTCGTTCGTTCTCAAGTTAGTGCCTTTGGCAGTAAGATCAGACACTACCGTAGACCTTAGTCGTCTATGAGAACCTCCATTCGGCTGTACAAGAGACTAAAGAATTGGTTAATGATCTTGTCCCTTTCGAGTCCTACTGGAGTGCTATAGTGCCTCTTTGTTTTGTGTCACAAAGCTCTTGTTACGCAGTAGGGTCGGCTAGAACAGTGTTGTGGTGTCGAGAGTTATAAAACAAGGGGGAAGCGGAGGAGGAGTAGACCTTGGGGAGCAAAATTAAACTGAGTAGGTTAGTCAGTCACTTGTCAGATCATCGTCACGGTACGGTTCGTAGCGCAGATCTCTGATGCTATCATCTTTGGACCGAATGCAAGGTTGCGCTAGACATGAAATTAAGGCTCATTACTAGCTGGAGCGATATTTACTCAGGAATGGTAAAAGATGTTCTGTTCTGATGCTTAACAGGACCGGCTAATAGGAAGCGGCCTAAAGCTGCTTATTTTGCTGTGGATGCCAGAACTGCGCTATTCCTCTGCCGGACCCTCAATTGCTAAATTAGGGCAGCCGGCTATCACTACTTCCGCAGACCAATCTGTCTTCCCCACATCCATCGCCGCTTCCCGACCTCACCGAGGTCAGAATCAAACCCCTCCCTCGTACTAAGAAGTCTTGTCTAGGGATTTGTACTTCATACTCTAGGTAGCCTGGCTAATCCCGCCTTTTCATCTTTCTTCACCAGCTCCTTTACTCTCTCTTCCCTCAACACCACTCAACACCACTCAACCACCATCTTCTGTCAACAGGAGAAACAAATCAATCGTCCAACTACGCTCGCAGGCTCAAACCGCCACTCCAATCGCAACCATGGACTCTGTTCTACGACAATCAAAGTCCATGTGTCCATTCCTGAAGAAGACTTCACCCGCCACCCTCCGCTCCCTCTCGACTACTGTAACCCGCCAGGCCTCCCCAGGTGGCGGCAGTATGTCCAACCTGCAGACCATTGCTCGTCGCTGCCCCATCATGGGAAAGGCCCTCGCTGTGCAAATCGCCAAATCCTCAAAGGTCGGACTTGGTGGCGTGGCTGCTCTAGGTGCCATCCGCGCTTTTTCTGGAAAGGTCAGCTCAAGCAAGGCGAAGCTGCATACCAGCTGTTCCCACGAAGCCAGAGCTCTAGACGACACTTTGTTCGGACGTGAAGGTTAGTCAATCTACAGTGTGTGCGCCGAAATACTCTGTTGACCTTATATCCAAAGCTGCCTTCAAGCATGCTAAACCTGTTCGTTCGATCCACCACAAGAATGATCAGAAGTTCGACTACGAAGGATTTTACAATGCCGAACTTGACAAGAAACACAAGGACAAATCCTACCGCTACTTCAACAACATCAATCGTTTGGCTAAGGAATTTCCCCGTGCTCATACAGCGAGCAAGGAAGACAAGGTCACAGTTTGGTGCTCCAACGATTATCTCGGGATGGGCAGGAATCCTCAAGTCCTAAAGACTATGCACGAAACTTTGGAGGAATACGGAGCCGGTGCGGGAGGAACCCGAAATATCTCCGGGCATAACAAGCATGCCGTGAGTTTGGAGGCTACAATTGCAAAACTGCACTCCAAGGATGCGGCGTTGGTTTTCACTTCTTGCTATGTTGCAAACGATGCTACTCTTGCGACTTTGGGAAGTAAACTCCCGGATTGTGTGATTCTCTCGGATAGTTTGAATCATGCGTCCATGATCCAGGGTATCCGCCATTCTGGAGCTAGGAAGATCGTATTCCAACACAATGATCTGGCTGATCTTGAGGCCAAACTCGCCTCTCTCCCAGCCGATGTCCCCAAAATTATTGCATTCGAGTCCGTGTATAGTATGTGTGGCAGCATTGGTCCAATTGAAGGGATCTGTGACCTTGCCGAGAAATATGGCGCTCTCACCTTTCTCGATGAGGTTCATGCCGTGGGTATGTACGGACCACAAGGAGCTGGTGTAGCAGAACATCTCGATTACGAAGCTCACGTCAATGGAAAGCCCAAGGGAACGATCATGGATCGTATTGACATTATCACTGGAACTTTAGGCAAAGCTTATGGCTGTGTTGGAGGTTACATTGCCGGTTCAACCAAAATGGTAGACACTATCCGTTCCCTTGCCCCGGGATTCATCTTCACTACCTCTCTCCCTCCCGCAACAATGGCAGGCGCTCAAACCGCCATCGAATACCAAATGGCATACCAAGGCGACCGCCGCCTCCAACAACTCCACACCCGCGCTGTCAAGGACTCCCTCGCCGAGCGCGACATCCCAGTCATCCCCAACCCATCTCACATCATCCCCGTCCTCGTCGGGAACGCCGAACTTGCTAAAAAGGCCTCCGATATGCTCCTCGATGTCCACGGCATCTACGTCCAATCCATCAACTACCCCACCGTCCCCGTCGGCCAGGAACGTCTCCGCATCACGCCTACCCCAGGCCACGCCCGCGAATTCCGTGACCATCTCGTTGGAGCCTTGGATTCCGTCTGGAACGACTTGAACATCAAACGCACTTCTGCTTGGGCAAAGGACGGTGGCTTTATCGGGGTCGGTGAGCCTGGTCTTAAGCTCCCTGAGCCGCTCTGGACAGATGCCCAGCTGGGCGTTACAGAGGTGGTTAAAGAGATAAAGGCTAGTAGCCCTGTGGGCGTTATCGAAGCCCTTCTTGAGAGAGAGACTCATGCTATAGCCAAGACTATTGGTACTGCTACTGCTTAGGTGTCTTACTGTTAGTCTCCAGGTCTCTGCAGGAGGAAGGTACAAGGCAAGTAGGGGAACAGGCAATCCCGGTCAGGGTAACAGACTATCTTAGACACTCTTTTGAATACACGATTTTGAACCACACTTTCACAACACCATGTATATCGATATAGCTTTGTTGAATGTCAACCGGTACTATACCCACAGAGACTAAAAAAAGTTTCACCGGGAAGCAAGATCGACGTTACGTGTTAGAAGACACTCTTGTCACTTATAGTCCGTCAGGATATTCATTATTCGTTACTTATAAATCGTGGCTCAGCTCCGGCTGAACCCTCCTCTCCCGCGACCCCGACCAAATCTGACACTCGGAGGTATAAACCTAAGCGAAGACATAGCACCTGAAAGCCCATCCATATCTGTGTCTTCTGAATCTGCACGACTTTCAACCAGCTCCATCTCAGCCTCTTTCATCTCATCTCCAGCTCCATTCTCGGGGCTAGTAGCTCCCACGCCCGAGCTTCGTCTATCGTCTCTCTTGCCAGATTCACTCATATGTTGTTGAGCAGCCGAACTGCGTCTCCTCTGATTTCCAGATCGCAACATGGAGCTCCGGCGGTCGATCCCGTCGTTCACGACGTAGAAGTCGTAGTCTTTGGGAAACATGTGCTTGTCGATCAGGTGCATGCGTCTCTTCTGAGGGGTGGAGCATTTCCGATCGCAATCCTCGACAAAGCATGAATACTAGGAATAAGTAAGTGAGTAAGTGAGTAAACTATAAATGAATTCTATACACCTCTTTTTTTTTTTTTTTTTTTGGAGGCAAGGCAAGGCAAGGCAAGGCAAACTCACTGTCTTTTCTCCCCGCCCCTTCAAAACACTGATCATGGAATCGTGATTCTCCTCAATATGTAGATTCAGGAAATGTTCTGTAGGGAAGTTCTTCCTACACTCCAGACACCGATTTGTGTGGGTCTTGGCATAGTGAACATCGTATTCCTCGAATGAAGCAAAAGTGAGGGTTCCCCGGTGTGGTGGGAGAGAACATCGCATTTCTGTGGTGGTGGTGCTGGTGGTGGTGGTGGGACGACCTTTGCTGCTGCTGCAGCTGCTCTCCTCTACGCTGAGATGGACGAATTTGGAGGTTGAAGCTGGGAATTGTTCTGTGCTGCTGGGATGGATAACTGAGCGAGCTGGAGCGAAGGATTCTTCTTCTGGAGACTCTGGGGAAGAAGGAGGCTCGAAATCTTGTCCTGAGCGCTTGGCCATTTTTGAGAAATTATAGGTGTTGAACGCGGGGTAAATAACCTACTTTTACAGTAATGTCGCTCTTGTCCTTCTGCTTGTCCAGTAAGGTACTGTAGTCTGTAGAACTTGTTTCGCTTATCTTATCGGTTAGTGGCAAAGTCCTGAGTAGCAGTAGCAGTAGCAGTAGCAGTAGCAATAGCAGTAGCAATAGCAGGTATGCGGTTTTGGACCTCTATAATATAAAGGTAGCCATGCGAGCCAGGCTAAGAAAGAAGAAAGTGTAGGTAGGTATCAGTAAAGCTACTATAAGTACTGAGGCCGAACAGTGTCAGTGGTGCCTCTGCTCTGCACCTACCTAAGGCTAAACTCCGTTTCCCTCGATTACCTAAGAACAATTGCTTTGAAACGTTTCCTGTGTCCTGGTCGTCTTTTCAGGTTCTCACAAGTATTATAAGCTGCCTGTAAACTTCCCAATCTCCTGTCACTTATCTGCGCTACATAGGTACGAATACAACTTGTCATATTGTCATGGCTCAACCACTGATTGTTTTCCTTACTCGTCGCTCGCATGAGCAAGCGGCGTGCGGCTTCCATCGGCCATCTCATCCCGGGACCTCGGTCCTGGATTTGAATCATTAGAGGCATGATTGGTTCGCTCCAGCAGCCCTGCCGCTGCATTCCACTATTACTCTACTCTACTCTACTCTACTCTAGATTATTATTGTCGTCATAATTGAGCATTCAACACCCGCTGTTGTGCTTAACTAAACGAGACCAAAACACAACATCACCACGGCAATGCGGTGACCTCTCACTAGGTATGGCTTCCTCCAGATCAGTCACTGCAACTCTGCAGCGAAATCTGCTGAGGCGAAATCCTATCCGAGCATCGACACAGCTTCCTCGAAGCTTTCAATCGACCTCAAGCTTCGTCCGCCCCCGCACAAGCTTGTCTCGATCCCTTGGTCAGTTGAGGGCATTCTCTGTCTCAACTCCCCGCAGATTCGCAGAAGTCAATGACGATTTCGACCCTAAATCAATTGACCGAGAAAGTGACGAGGTTGATGTATGTATTGTTGGTGGAGGTAAGCTTATGGGAAGAACGAACCAGATAAGAAGTCGGACTGACGGAAACAGGTCCTGCTGGATTGAGTGCGGCTATACGATTGAAGCAATTGGCAAACGAGGCTGGCAATGAGGAGTTCAGAGTTGTGCTGTTGGAAAAGGCGGGGGAAATCGGGGCACATATCCTTTCTGGAGCGGTTATTGAACCTACAGCAATCAACGAATTGATCCCAGACTGGCTGACAGAAGAAAACGAAAACAGTTTTCAAGATGTTACTCCTGCGACTAAAGACAAAATGCGATTCCTCACGAAAGGGAGCTCCATCCCAATACCTGCCCCTCCACAGATGAACAATCATGGCAATTACATTGTTAGTTTGAACCACTTCACAAAATGGCTTGGTGAGAGGGCAGAGGAGATTGGAGTTGAGGTTTATCCAGGATTTGCTGCATCCGAAGTGCTGTACAGGTCAGATGGATCGGTTCAGGGTGTTGCGACAAACGATCTAGGCATTTCAAGACAAGGCAAGCCTAAGGACAACTTTGAAAGGGGCATGGAATTCCACGCAAGAACTACACTTTTTGGAGAAGGTTGTCATGGAAGTCTTACAAAACAAGTCATCAAGAAATTCGATCTGCGAAATGAGAGCCAGCCTCAAACATACGGTCTCGGTCTAAAGGAAGTTTGGGAGGTACAGCCTGAGAAGTTTAAGAAGGGAGAAATTGTCCATTCAATGGGCTACCCTTTACCAGCAGACACATACGGCGGTGGATGGATGTACCATTTTGGAGACAATCTTGTCAGCATCGGCTTGGTTGTCGGCCTCGATTATCCCAACCCATGGCTTTCCCCGTACCAAGAGTTCCAAAAGATGAAGCACCACCCACTGTATAAGTCAGTTCTAGAAGGTGGAAAATGCATCTCCTACGGTGCACGAGCTCTTAACGAAGGAGGGTTTCAATCGATACCAAAGGTTGCTTTCCCAGGCGGTGCCCTGATTGGCGACACAGCTGGCTTCCTCAATGTTCCCAAGATCAAGGGAACGCACACTGCGATGAAGTCTGGCATGCTTGCTGCAGAAGCCACCTGGAATGCTCTCTCTAATACGGACAGTGGAACCATTTTCCTTTATGATTATGAAGAGTCTCTGCGGAAATCTTTCATCTGGAAGGAACTGAAAGAGGTCCGAAATATGCGACCATCTTTCCACAGTCCGTTGAAGCTCTACGGCGGAATCATGTATTCCGGCCTCGAGGCATACGTTCTTAAGGGCAAGGTCCCTTGGACGCTCAATCACAAGGGCACAGATGCATCGGCGACGAAGACAGCAGACCAGTGCAAGAAAATCGAATATGAGAAGCCAGATGGCAAGATCAGCTTTGATATCTTGACGAGCGTGAGCCGCACAGGCACAAATCACGAGGAGGATCAACCCGTACATTTACAGGTCAAGGATTGGGACAAACATGCCGCGATGGAATGGCCAAAATACAAAGGAATAGAGAACCGCTTCTGCCCGGCAGGCGTGTATGAGTACGTAGAAGATGAGTCGAAGGATATTGGTGTGCGGTTCCAGATCAATGCCCAAAAGTATGTGTCTTGTCCTACTTGAGAGAGATCATTGCTTACTTTTCTAGTTGCATTCATTGTAAGACTTGTGACATTAAGGTTCCGGATCAAGGTATGTTTTTCTATCCCTTTCTAGTGGAGTATGTATTGACCAGTAACCAGACATCAACTGGACTACACCTCAAGGGGGAGAAGGCCCAAAGTATTTCATGACATGATCAGTATCTGGGTGCCCGATGGGACTCTGTGTGTATCACTAACGAAGAAAATTAAAGAAGATAAAGAAGAAAATCAATACGAAGCCAGTGACCAAGATACAATTGTGCGAGAAGTTCCTTAGTTGCCAACTTGAAGCTATCCAACGAATGGATGCGAAGACACACAAGGTATCCCCAGCTTTCGCAAGACGATAGGCCTCAAAGCGATTTCCTACGACTATTCAATATTGCAGAGTGTAAAGAACCTCCTCGAACGAATAGTCAGCTACGCATTCACTCGGATGCATGCTGAGTCTGGCGACGCTGGGCTGCTAGTTGAGATTCCATCTTCGGGCGTGTGGATTTTTGGATTCGAAGTATGATGGTGTATGGGCTGCTTCGATGAGGTGGCATATCTCTTTCCTCTGTCCTGCGATTTCTCCCTAGATATTAAGTAGGTATGAGAGCCATGGTCCCCTTAGGTATGCATTTCGCGAAGTAAAGAGGCTATCGTCTGTCGAGTATGTGAAAAGTCTGTCTCAGAGCACAAAGCACATTTGCTGTGGCTACAGATCTCTTGAGAGTTAGTTGGAACGGCAACTTGTCCACAGTTTTCTTAGATGGGAAGTCTTACATATGGGAGACACACGGCTGCGACATGCCAGAAATCTATACGAAAGGCCTGCTTCTCTCGATTGAACTTCAGTGAAGACTTACCTGTCTGATCGTCCACGTCCCTCGGATGAGAGCTTAGTGTGCTCCCCACATATATTTCCTAAGTAGGATATACTTGCAAGAGGCAGCAGGAAAAGAATATTGGGAATGCGTGTCACACGATCGTCTGTCCTGTCTGTGTCACCTCCTCCCCTCCGTCCCTCCCTTTGTGAGGCATATGTTGCACTTATTACCCTACAGATGGATTCAACCAAGAGGCTGTGATGATTCTCAAGTTGATCCAGAAACAGAAGTATTGCTGACCGATTCTCACGCACTCTTTAATTCAACCATGCATGTCAGGAAGGTAAACTAATACCCCAAAAGCTACGACAGGGTCGTTTGGTATTCCCATGCAGAAGTTACCCGGTCAGTGGGTACGCCCGTTCTAGATCCTTGCAAAAGAAGGTCACTCGTTCCGCCTAGATCTCCCTGCCTCTGTTAAAGTCTACCTTATCTTCTCTACAGGTAAACTCCGGCGGTACGATAACAACCCACTCCCTGGACAAGTACTACAAGAGCAAGAACCTATTTGGGTGGACACAGAGTAAGAGTAGGAAGTTCAAGACATCTTAAGTGTACGTCTCGAACAAGACGGAACACTACGGTACCAAGCTAAATGGAAAGGACTCGACCCAGACCCAGACCCAGACCCAGAGTTCTACCCTGCCGGGGACTTTATGACTTGCCCGCATAAGCTTTAGGACTTCTATGAAGCGAAGAACGCTGAAATTCGTTGTCGTCCAGGCAGCCTTAGCGCCTCGCTTCAGCGCCGTGCCCTAGAAAAGTGTGTCTTCAGCAGTTGAGGGGATAATAATCGGTCGAATTTGTTAGAAATATAGGGATTATAGGCGTAGACTCAGTACTATAGGCTATACTACTAAGTATGCTACCCCTTTATATAGGAGATTCTCTCTCTCTGTAGTAGCTCTATATACAACTGCAATTCTGATATAGTAGCAATTCGAATCGATTATAAAAGACCTTAAAACTTCATTTTTATTAAGATCTTCACTTTATTAACTCTTAGTGTATCTACTACTACGCTATAATATTATCTTAATTAAAAATACTAATTCCCGTCGTTACCGGAGCTTTAAAAAGTAAAACTCTACTAGAGTTTAATAACTTCTTTAAATAAGAGCTTAAGACTAAATAAGAGCTAGCTAAGGCTAGAGTTCTTTATTACATTCTTACTGAAGTTAGCGTGCTAAATAGTATTAATTAGTAGAATACTTACGCTAAGGAAAAGAAGGAAGCTTTTAAAATAATTATTAACTTAATCTCTAAGCTTCTCTTTCCTAAGTATAGAGATATTATTAAACTAAATAACGCTAAGCCTCTCTAAGAAGCTATTCACGCTAATAAAAGTAAAGTAGTTTAAGGGAGTCTTACTTTTACTAATATAAGAGACGATTTCTTTAAGATAAAGTTTATCCTAAGGGAGGAAATACTTCAGAACTATATTATAAGGCTCTTACTTTTTAAAGTAAAGCTTAGTAGCGATAGTAAACCTCTTACTAATAAAGATATACATCTTAAGCTACTACAGTTATTACTAGTATCTAAAGCTTAGATTACTATAGCGCTAACCTTAGAATTATAAGACCTAGATCTCGGAGATACTATACGAAAGCTTAATAAATATTAAATTCAATAGAGAAAATAGCTTTAACTTATAGCTACTAGTAACACCGTGAACTATATAAATAGAAGCTATAATAGAGAGAGAGGTAGTAGAGATAATAGAGGCTAAAGGAGTAGAGGCTACTTACGTAGGAGAGGTAATATATATAAGAATAAAAGAGAATAGGAAAAACGGAATAATAATAGTAAGAGTAATAGCTAATAAAGACGTAAAAGGCGCGTAGAAAAGAGAGGAAATCGCCCTAAATTAGGTTGAAATTAGTATACTTAGTGTAAAAGCTATAGCTACTAGTATATAGATTATATAGAAGCTAAGAATACTTACGCAGGAGATAGCGCTAATAAAGTAGAGGAAATTAAAGATAATAATACTTATCTCGCGTTCCCTTTGGAAGAGATTTACTACGCTAAAGACGTAGAATATACTTTATTAATAATCTCTATTATAGAATCTATCTAGAAAATCGACTCTAGCGCTACTCGCTACTTTAGTAGAGTTCTAGCTAAGTTTAAGCAACTTAAGCGCTAGTATAACGCTAAATACGTTAAAATAGCGACTAATTTATACTTAATAGCTAAAGGTTATAAAGATATTACTATTAATAAGTTAACTCTTAAAGATATATAGTACGTACCTAACTTCGGAGCTATAAAGCTAGTATTGATATATTAACTCTCAGATAAAGGAATTAATATAGAACTAACTAAGATATTAGCAAATAGATACTAGAATAGTAAACTAGTCTTTATAAGCATAAGAAACGGAGGTTTATATATTCTAGATATAAATCCTTAATATTAAATTACATATAACATAATTCCGTTAGACTTAAAGCTACTAAAGGAACGAATAGAGAGTTAGCCTAGTATAAAGGAAATAAAGGTAGATTTGCTCTATAAGCGTTTAAGCTATATAAATTACGCCTCTTTAAAGAAACTAGTTACTTATAGCAGTTACAGAATAAGACTGATTTCTGTTTCGAAGCTAAAGGGAGAGAAGTATTATAAGGCTTACCTTATAGGCTATATAAAAGAGCACTTTAATAAGAAGTCAGATAGTAGAACTAATATACCTATTTATTAACTATACGCTAATATCTCTAGTATCTTACTACGCTTAATTCGTAGCTATAAATACTTCCTTTTAGTAGTAGATAATACTACGAGAACGTATTAGGTAGATCTCTTAGTTAATAAGTCTATGTTAACTATTTAACTAGTTATTTAGAAATTAAAGCTATAGCTTAAAACTTAAAAGTAAAGTAAATTCCGTATAATTATCTACTAGAGGACTAATAATAGTAAGGGAGAGTTCGGTCCTAAGTTTATTAACTAGCTATAAGAGAGTAGAATCGTTCCTAAACCCTCTCCTTTATATAAATACTCTTTAAATAGAGTTATAAAGCGATAGATATATAAACTAGCTAAGATTATACGCTTAATCCTCTATAATACAAAGATACCCGAGAATATATAGTACTACGCTATTAAGTAGGTAGTAAAGTTAAAGAATAAACGCCTAACTACTGCTTTACTATATAAAACAGCTACTAGACTTACTCTAATCGAAGTATACAGAAGATAGCTTACAGACCTCTTTAAAATAAGAGTATTTAGCTCTATAGCGTACCCTTTATATCTACTAGGGCTATATCAAAGTAAAATAAAGTAAAAGATAATTCCGGGGTGATTCGTATTAATAAGTATAGTGTGGTAGGGTAGTATAGTTCTAGGTCAGAAGATAGTTAGCCTATTCTATAAGGTTATATAGATAGGCGCGATAGTATATAACAAATATATTATCTTCTCTCTCTTACTCTTACTACTTATTTAGTTAGTAGTCCTTTATATCCCTGCTTACTATATACTTTAATAGTATTACCTTACTCCTTTATATTAGTAACTTACATAGGGAACTAGAAGTAAAGTAAAGGAATAGTTAGGATATAGCTAAGCTAATAGTAAAAGTAAGAGTTAGAATTTTATTACTTAGTATCTCTATCACAGAGATAGATAGATATATAAGAAGTAGCTGAAAAAAAGGAGCTCTAAGAACTCCTATTTAGTAAGTAAGATATTAGGAAATAGCGGAATATAAGTAAAGAGAGCTAAGGAAGTATAAAAAAGAAAGTTATTATATAAAGCTTAGAAGATAAGGTTACTATAGTAATAGAGAAAGTTTATATAAAGAAAATAAGTAAGGAATAGATAAATATAAAAAAAAAGCGAGTCTAATATAAAAAAAGGGCTTAAAGCAGGATAAAAAAGGGATATAAGGAAAAGAGGTTAAGGAGGTCGGAGTAGTTAAGAGAGTTAAGTCTGAAGGTTATAAGAAGTATAATTACTATACTCTTACTAGTAACTCTAGTACTTTTAACTCTAGTAATATTAAGTATACTATACCTTATAAGTAAGTACTAAAGGTTTAAATTATTTACTAAATTCCCTGATATAACTATATTTCTAAGAGATCCTAAGAACTAGA